CCCCAAAACCCCAAAACCCCAAAACCCCAAAACCCCAAAACCCCAATATTACTCAACCTCATTGAAAGCTTTATAAAATATGTTAATTAAATAAGTCTTTCTAGCTGAGGGAAAGTTTGGGGTTCTTCACGCCTCGAGCTATCTGCTCCATCATTTGGTCTCGGAACTGCCGAAGGGCATCTCTGACATCATCACATTCCTTCTCGACAATCTCTTTCAGCAAAGGGGCTAGCTCTTGAAGAGCAGTATCGTTCTTATCATCGAACCAGCTTTTAATGAAGATGCCATTGTCAGGCTGGAGCTGGAAGTTTTCAGCCACATTATCAACAATAATGGTTTTACTGAGGTCTCTCCCAATTTTGGACAGATCTTTCACGAACACAAGTCCATGTGGCGAGGCATGCTGCCTATAAAGCCGATGGGAGATGTACTTATTCGGGTCAATATCATTCATGACCCAGTCCGCATAATCCTGCATTGCAGCTGTAAAGACCACCACTTCATAAATCTCGGCCATTTCTTTGAGAAATTTTTGGCATGAAGGCCGCACATTGTATTTACCTTTCCCGTTAGTTTCAAAATAATGCACAAGGGTCTCATCCAAATCCAGTACTAAAGTATAGCCATGCCCAGTAGAATTCTCAGGAAGATATGGAGCCTTTACTTTTGGCAATGACTGCATTGGCTGGAGAGAGGTTCCTCCCACCATATGCAGAGGCGGTAGGTGGTTCTGCCTCTTGCTTCCTTTCGGCTTCTTTGTGTGGCTCAGGTATGACTTATGCAACATCTCTCTGCATTTCATGAACGAATGGGAATCAATCGTTTTCAAAACGTATAAGATTGTCTGGTGAAAATTTCTCTTTCCCTTCTTCACAGGGCCATTATTAGGCCTCTTAGCCAAAAAGTTCTTGACAATAGGCACCATGCACTCGGAGTTGTGCCTGATAATTTCGAGTTTAGACTGTTGCTTGTTGTTTAGACCTGTGGTCTTGACTGCCATCTGAGAGAGCTTACTATCAATGATTGATTTAAGGTTCTTCATCCACTCAGCCTTCTCTTCCCTTGAAGGCAGTCGCTCAATGATCACATCGATCAAGAGCAATATATTCTGGTGCACGTAGTAATTTAGGTTATTTAAACTGAAGCTGGGTTGTTTTGTGCAGTTTTGAGTCATGCGAAAATGCTGAAATAATGATCACCACAATGTACTCAAGCAGCAGTGAAGCCTTTATCGTCTTAATGTGTTGTAGCTCCTCAGCAAGTATCTCAATCTGCTCATTAATCTTCTTATAAACTTCTCTTGTAACTTCGTAATAGTCATTAGCTATGTTGTTTGATAGAGAGCAGATCTTGTCCTCAACAATGATCATTGCTTCGATGTCGATATCGAGCTCAGTTTGGTTAGAATCTGGCTTGTTAAAACTGACCTTGCTTTCATTATACTCGTCCTTAACCTCCTCAATAGTTGAGTTCTTGTACTTTGGAGGCTCAGTGAGATTATTCACAGCCAATTTTGGCTTGGACCTCTTCTGGGTACTTGATAAAGGATCCTTACCCTTTACATGAGAAATCCGAAAATCATGAGCCTTGCTGGTCTCATGGAACTTATGACTCGGTGTAACACTCATGTACCTATAAGTACTCTCCTTCTTCAGATTAGACATGTTTATCGAGCTATTAAAACTCCTTTTGTGCTGACTGTCAGCCACACTTGAGGTTCTCTTGTTCTTCTTAAAATTCCCAAAGAAATGGTTATTTGAGCCTAGTTTCCTACTAGCTGAAGAATGTGGAAGATCCTCTAAAATTAGAGCTAGAGAAAGTACCATTTAGGTTTAGAATAGGTGGCTTAAAATTATTTTTCGCCTGGACTCGTTCAAAGCTGTACAATTCTATCGCCTATATTTCAGAAATGTAAAGTACTCTTTCCTTAATAAGTCAAGAAATTATTATATTTTATGTGAGAGATCTCCAAAATCAAAGTCTAGTATCAATTTTGGCACAAAACAAAACACATTAGTCACTAAATAGGCCACAAATCCCCTCAGCAGAGGCTAAATATTCCAAATGGCTTAAGAATCTGGAATCCAAGTTAGTCTAGCTTAAGGCTAGCAGCTCCTGAGAGGTTGTCAAACAGCATCGATAATACACGAGAGATAAAGAAAAGTGCCAAAAATTACCTACCTTCGGCTGGAGGTGAGAAGAGTTTTTCAAAATCTTTTGAGTGTTCCTGATCAAAGGCATCTTACTTATACTGTTTGGCCTTCAACCCTCTCGAGTTTTTGCCAAACCCATTAATCATTAGCATATTTTGGTCCTTCTCAGCACTTCCATGTGCTTTGGTCAGGAACTGTAGCGAGTTCTTGATTTGAGAGTGCTGCCCTCTCTTCGGTGTGTACAAAGAAGGGACCTTCGATTGCCCCATCTGGTACTTTGAAGTCAACTCATTCGCATATATTTTTGAAAGTTTCGAACTTGAAGTCCCCAGGCTATTCAGTGACTGCTTGCCTTCTAAAATGTTAGTAAAGAGCGCGAAAGAGGAGATAGGCAGCATCCTCACTATAATTCGGCAATGCCAACCAAGTTCAGCCTCACTGGGAGGGGCAATTAAGATATCTTACTTAGAGGCGATGGCTTTCTTGTAATGTGCTCCATGATTACTTCAAAATATTTTAATAATTTCAATATTCTTACTCTAAACAGGGGTTTTGGGGTTTTGGGGTTTTGGGGTTTTGGGG